TGGTTAGATGGCATCACCGACTCAATGGACATGAGTTTGAGCAAGCTCCAGGAGTTGGTGATGGACAGGGAAGCCTGGCGTGATGCAGTCTTCACAGTCACAAAGAATCGGACACGACTGAGCGGCTGAACTGAGCAGTCAGACTAACTGAGTTCATTTCTGTCACAAAGTATACAAAGACTAAATAAAGAGTGTTGACCACATTTTAATAACTCATTCTATGCAGCTTTTATCTTTATTCCATTTTCAAAGCTCTCAGCAGAGCACACATACCAATGGCGTTGTTCAGAATATATTCGTCTCGGAAAAAAACACGAAGCATTTCCCGGTTTGTATTTCTAGCTTCTGAGACTGCTAAAATATGAGAAAAGAAAAAAAAAGGATTACAAATATAAAAAAGTGTTTTCCAGTCAATACAGTCAGATAAATTTAAAATACTGTGATAGAAAATACCAAGGGGAAAGTCTAGAATGGTTTCTTAAGCTTCTGAAGTCACCCATGCCACAGACGTATTATAGTCAGCTCCAAATCCATAGTCCAATGTTAGAACTTCAAGGCAAAAATTCTTATTTAGAACAACTTACAAGGTGTTATAAATTATAAGTTATATATTGGTACCAAATGCATATAATTTTGACTATTTTCTATGGCACCTGAATAAACATTTGCTGGATACATGTTTTCTTTGGCAACATATCTCAACACAAATACATTATACAGGGAATTCCCTGGAAGTCCAGTGGTTAGGACCCCACACTTGCACTGCAAGGGGCACAGAGCCTGGTGGTGGAACTAAGATCCCACAAGCTATGAAACACGGCCAAAAAAAAAGAGTACATTATACGTGTACACACAAAGAAATAAATGCACACATAGAGTTCTGTATATTCTAACTAGTTAAATACTTCCTCCATATTCATTTCATGGAACATTTGTTGAGCATCTACTAGGTGCCATGTGCTATTTTCAGTGCTATTATAAGACAGCTGCCTGGAGTTCAGACTAGTAAAACAGACAATTGAAATATACTCCCTTTGCTATGCCCACTCTAAGGTTGGGATGCGATAGGAATGGAAGCAGAAGAGATATGATTAAAAGAAGGGTTTCCAGAAGAAAGACATCTGAGCCAAATGTGAACAATAGGTAAGGGTTTCCTAGAAAATGATGGCAGTGGGAACTTGGGGGCTCTGAGTAGACAAAGGAGTACCTACAAAGGCACACAGGCAAGAAAGAATAAAATCAAGAAATAAGTAAAGAAAAAGAAGTAGTTTTAAAAGACTAAAGGAGAATGGTAAAAGGTGAGGCTCGAGAGGTAAATGAGATAGTAATATTCTTATTATATTTTCATGGATATTAATAAATAAGGATGCTAAAATCAAATGGTTTCATTTCTGTTGCAATTTTCTATTATCCAGTGTTCACATCCACTACACTCTCACTAGAGTCAATGTCAAAACTGCCATCAAAACTCTCTTCCACATACTACCAAGTGCATATGCTTTTCCTGTCTTTAAGTCCTATGAAAATTACCTGCTGCTGCTGCTAAGTTGCTTCAGTCATGTCTGACTCTGTGTGACCCCATAGATGGCAGCCCACCAGGCTCCTCTGTTCCTGGGACCCTCCAGGCAAGAACACTGGAGTGGGTTGCCATTTCCTTCTCCAATGCATGCATGCATGCTAAGTCGCTTCAGTCATGTCTGACTCTCTGCGACCCTATGGACAGCAGCCCACCAGGCTCTTCTGTCCACAGGATTCTCTAGGCAAGAATACTGGAGTGGGTTGCCATTTTCTTCTCCATGAAAATTACCTACTAAAATATAAACTAAATATATATACATGTTTCTTCCTTTATGGGAAACAGCTACATAAAAATTGGTGACTATTAGATTTTTAGACAAACTTCAGAACTGATACAGCTTCCTTCAAAATGTTCCAACCAAATAGTGACTTCTTTTCCTGTTTTTTTTGTTTTGTTTTGTTTTTTTAAATGATTGGGAACTCCCTGGTGGTTCAGTGATTAGGAGTCAGAGTTCACTGTCATGGCCCAGGTACAACCCCTGGTCAGAGAACTACCCACAGGCCATGCAGTGCAGCCAAATTAATTACTTACTTAATCATTAAAAGTGAAATTAAAAAGATAAAAATTTTTTAAAAGGTTTGATATTGAGCCTCATTCTGACACTTTTACTGATAAAATCCCTAAAACTCTTACCTATTATCTTTTTTCATTTCTCACCAATTCTAAAAGAAAAGGAGTGCAAATTGTATTGCTGGTGAAATAAATCTCTTTTATCTCAGAAATCCTCTGAGGCTGCCTTCTAATCTTATCCTAATCAATTATTAACAGTTCCATATAAATTAAATGACATTTTAGTAATATCATTTAAAAATTTTTTTCAGAGTGCTCACTTACTGTCTTGGACTATAATGTTTAAAGAAACTACATTTCTTGGCATTGAAATCTGTTACTTAATACATGTAAATGAGAATAATTCTAGAATTTGTAAATGTATTTCCAAACAGCAATATAAAGTTAAAACTCATGGGCAAAAATAGAAGATGCTAAAATCAACACTCTGCTCATTTGTAAACTGACAGGATCAAAGGCCCAACTCTAGAGCAAAAGCTAATTCAAGGCTGAAAAACAGTGTTTTAAAAATACTTCAGTTGTAGGCAAAACAATAAATTCAAAACCAATTCAGTTAACAAGTCAGTCTAGGACTTCTCTGATGGCTGAGACAGTAAAGAATCTGCTTACCATGTAGGAGAGACCTGGGTTCTCTCCCAGGGTCAGGAAGATCCCCTGGAGAAGGAAATGGCTACCCACTCCAGTATTCTTGCCTGGAGAATTCTACAGACAGAGGAGCCTGGTGGGCTACAGTCCATAGGATCACAAAGAGTCAGACATGACTGAGCAACTCATACTTTCACTATGCAAAGGACATTAGTTTGATCTCTGGTCTGGGAAGATCCCATATGCGGTGGGACAACTAAGCCAGTGCGCCGTAACTACTGAGGCGGTGCTCCAGAGCCCAAGAACCACAGTTTCTGAGCCCATGTGCAGCAACTACTGAAGCCCGCATGCCCTAGCGCTCACGCTCTGCAGCAAGAGAAGCCACCGCCAGAAGCAGCCCCAGCACCACAACTGGAGCAGCCCCTGCTCACGGCAACTAGAGAAAGCCCACAGCAACAAAGACCCAGCACAGCCAAAGCTGAATTTTTTCAAAACGGACTAAGCAGCTGAAAATTTTAAAGTGAGGTTTTAAGATTTAGTTCCTTTAATAGATATTTGAAATTATGTCCTGAATCGAGCTTGTTTCTTTCTATTCCAAATGTAATGGTTTACATAAAATAATAAATTTGGTAAACAGAATAACCCTAACATCATCTTAACACAATACAAAAAAAAAAATCAAATATAAAAAACAAAACACTAAAAAAAAAAAAAAAACAATCCCAGGAGCCTACAGAATCAACATTTCTTCTCTCTTGTCTTTAATTGTTAAATGTGTACAGATTGACCTAAATAATTAGCAAGATAAAGAAAATTAACCTCTTTGTCTACCTCAACATGTATATTTAAACATAAAAACATTGATAATATAAATAGAATAAATATTATAATTAAGTGCATCCTTGCTTTGGGATCATGAACAGTGGGAAAGCACAGAGTCATAGATATATATAAGAGTATGTTATATCTGGAGAATGGCAAGTACTCAACATAGCCAGATTGTCAGGCCTATGAGTGTTTAGGGAGAGGAAGCTGAGTTACAACCAGGAAGCATTTCTGGTAAACTGCCTCAAGAAAGGGCTTCCCAGGTGGCTCAGTGGTAAAGAATCTGCCTTTCAATGCAGGAGATGTGGGTTCAGTCCCTGGGTTGGGAAGATCCCCTGGAGGAGGGCACAGCGATCCAATCCAGTGTTCTTGCCTGGAGAATCCCGTGGACAGAGGAGCCTGGTGAGCTACAGTCCACGGATCACAAACAGTCAGACACGACTGAGCAACGGAGCACGCATGCATGCATGCCTATGATAAACTGAGCTGCTTAATCAGAGCCATTCAAAAATAAAAAGTGAATTCAGAGACCAAAAATTAGACATTTTGTTCAAGATGATTCAGGGGAAATAAAGTATTTAGGTGAAAGGGAGAAATGTTTTTACCTCTGATATCACCTCCAGCACAGAAAGCCTTTTCACCAGCTCCCTTTATGATGATCAGGAAAGTTTCTGGATCTTGTTCCCACTTCTAGTCAAATGTAAAAGATGGTATAAGCATATTATAAACACAAACTCATGACCTGTGGCTGATTCACGTTGAGGTTTGACAGAAAACAAAAAATTCTGTAAAGCAATTATCCTTCAATAAAAAAAAATTTTAAAAATGAATTATATCCATATACACATAAACACATGTGTATATATAGACATATATGAATATATACAAAGCATAAGCTTTATAAAGCATATCCAGAATAATGGATTCTAATTTCATTTTTTTTCTGACATAAATTAGAGGCTATTCCAAAGTTGCTAAATGAGTACATTTTGTGATCTATATTTGATAATGACAATTTTGATACCAAGGTGAAAAAAAATATGGGCCTAATAATATGTTACATAAGCTTATAAATCTGATAAACAAATCAGCCCAGAGATTGCAGATAAACAGCAGTAATCTTTCTACTGTGGTGATAAAGGCTCTGTCCTACAGACAAATTTGTAAATAACAGAGTGGAAACACTTCTCCTGATCAAATCTGGAAGTGTTTTGGGGTTGGTAAGGACAGCTAATAAATAAGCAGGATGAAAGAATCAAGAGCCAATGAATACTGAAAAGGCTAGAACAATGGACTAAATAAAAAATTAGTTTACCAGAGTCAGAAGAATTAACCAGGGTTCCATGAATTCTACATTAGAGAATGAAAATATACAAGATAAAGAAGAGATGTACCTGGGAAGAGGTGGTTGTCCAACAGGTTAATGCAATACTGGATCACATTAATAGAAATATGATATTCTAACATGGAAGTTTCTACTTTTCTTCCACTTTAACCTGGAACACCTGATTTGTTCCTCTATATCACAGTTTAGTACATATTATAAGGTGGCCCAAACAGATAAAGAAGAATGGAAGAGACTCATCAAATGAAGAATTAACGAACTGGTGAGCAGGGGAGAGCTCATCTTTAATCCCTATGTGGCCAAGTGTATCAGGTATACTATTTCACTTCATCTTTACAATAATTCTATGACTTACCATCCCTGTTTCACAGCTGAGGAAAATGGAACACAGAGAGAATAATATTCCCAATCTATACAGTTAATAAATATAAATTCAAAATTTCAAACCCAGGTAGTGTGACTAAGTCATGTTTTTCCACTACACCATGCAGTTTTCTTAGAATAGGAAAGCTTAAGGCCTTCTCCAAGAAAAGGCTGGACAAGCACTTCAAAAACTGTCATCTTCCCACCAAAAAAGCTGTCATGTAGAAGCAGACTATATGTGTATACTCATGACCCAAGAGGCAGAACCAATATTACTGGTCAAAAGGTTGGAAAAATGAAGAGCAGCAGAATGTAAGAAGAAACTTGTGTGTGCTTAGTCACTCAGTCATCTCTCTTTGTGACCCCATGGACTGTAGCCCACCAGGCTCCTCTGTCCATGGGGATGCTCCAGGCAAGAATACTGGAGTGGGTTGCCATGCCCTCCTCCAGGGAATCTTCCCAGCCCAGGGATAAAACCCAGGTCTCCCGCACTGCAGGCAGATTCTTCACTGTCTGAGCCACCAGAATTGGAGCCATGTAAGTGGAAGAGAATGTCTTGTGCAGCAATGAACTCTCGTCACTAGGGGTGTGCCAGAATAATCACTAAGGCAAGAACGGAGGACTCCAGAAACACTGCGGCTTGGGCACTGCGCCCAGACACACAAGTGATTCGGTGCAAGAAAACACTAGGAAAGTTCTATAAAGACACACTTTCAAAAGGATCCATATGACTGCTCGAAGAAAATGACAAACCTTTAGCTGTGCGTAAACCTGCTGAACCATATTAAGAGTCAGTGTATTCAGAAACCTTGGTCTGTTTAGTGTTATCACTCCTGCACAGCCTTTTCTTTCCAACAGGACTTCTGCTGCAGCATCTGTGTGCTGAGACATTTTCTGTGTAAACAAAAGAAGAACTTTAGGATAAAATTTATTAAGCTTGTGTCACACGTCAACATCAAAACACACATTAAATGCAAATCTTTTTTTTAAATGCAAATCTTTTACACAACGTTAAGAGCAGCTAATCAAACGGACAACTTGGTACATCTGACAAAGTGTCCTAAAATTATTTACACAGTGTAGATAAGCAGTTCCAAAGCAAACAACATATACCTCTTAAATCTCTTAATTTTTATTTGAGTAAACTTAGTGAATTGATTAGAACCCAGTCCTACAATTTCTTAGACTATGAAATACTCTTAACCCTTTTTACTGTATACCAAGCAATATGTTAGGTACTTGGAAGTCAAAGATGAATGTAGAGGGCAAGTAATTCTGACTATAGTAGCTAACAACAACTTGGAAAAAAGAAAAAACAATGATATTTGAGCTGGACCTTGATGTACCCTAAGAAAAAAAAGAGGTGAAAATCCTGGAGAGTAGCACATGCTAACACATGAACAATGATTATCTGGAAGTATTAAGTTGTTAAACAGGGGTGGAATAAAGGCTGACTGAAAAAATGACAGGAAAGTAGGCAGAAAAAGTGCTTTAAGGCCAGATAATAAAATGAGATTACAAGATCATATACAGAAGTAGTAAAAAACATGCCTATACAGAAGGTCGGAGGGCCTCACCCAGGCTTCCCAGGCAATTCAGTGGTAAAGAATCCATCTGCCAACACAGGAGACTCGGGTTCGATCCCTGGATTGGGACAATCCCCTGGAGGAGGAAATGGCAACCCACTCCAGTATTCTTGCCTGGGAAGTCCCATGGACAGAGGGGCCTGGTGGGCTATACATAGTCCATGGGGTCATAAAGAGTCAGGCACGACCGAGCGACTAAACAAGAAGGGCCTCACACACCACGCTGAGTGAGGCAAGTGGTACATTCTGGGGTGGCGCATTTTGCTCCCCTTCAATACTCACTGGTTCTGCTTCCTTGACTAAACCCTTACTTGGACAAAAAAAACAGATGACAGACCAAAAGAGTTGCAGTTTTCAGATACCTACGTCATTCTAAATTTTAAAGTAATACAGATAAAAGTTTTCCTATTTTACAACATGCTACATACAAGTATTAATAAATATGGAAGTGAGAAGTGAAAGTGAAGTCACTCAGTCGTGTCTGACTCTTCGCAACCCCATGAACTGCAGCCCACCAGGCTCCTCGGTCCATGGGAGTTTCCAGGCAAGAACACTGGAGTGGGTTGCCATTTCCTTCTCCAATGCATGGAAGTGAGAAGTGAAAGTGAAGTCGCTCAGTCGTGTCTGACTATTCGCAACCCCATGAACTGCAGCCTACCAGGCTCCTAGGTCCATGGGAGTCTCCAGGCAAGAGTACTGGAGTGGGGTGCCACTGCCTTCTCCGTCAAGGAGGTGTAGGACCAGTATATTTGTTTACCTCAGGCAGAAGCCCTAAGGAAGATTAACTAGAATATTTAATGACATGCTAGAGGTCAAGTCACCAACTCAAGGGACATGAGTTTGAGCAAGCTCCAGGAGCTGGTGATGGACAGGGAACCCTGGAATGCTGCAGTCCATGGGGTTGCAAAGAGTTGGATACGACTGAGCAACTGAACTGAACTGAGAGGTCAAGTGTGGGCAAATTGATAGTATGAAGTTCCTGGGGGGTTGGTGGGGGGGAGTGGTCACATTCATGGGGGAGCTCCTACTCTTGCTGGCTCTTCCTCCTGGAAACCAATCAGGTTCTCCCAGGGAAGACTGGAGAAAGCTCCCCCGTGTGGGGGTGGCTAGGAGAGGGAAACATCAGGCACAGCGAAATCCTTTCCCCTCATCTTCCAAACAGAGCAAAAGGCTAACTCTGCAGGGGAGAGAGGAAGGCTTCAAAACCAGGTTCTAGGGGAGCGCTTCCACAGTGGGGAAATAGGATAGAGGTTTACAATATAAGAACCTTAATCCCAATGGAGAAGCGTTGCAAAACCACAGCCTACTGATCTTAGTGTTTACCACCCAGAGTTGGAGAAAAGGAACAGGAGTCAAAGGAAAAGTGGGGGAAAGGCAACCCATCCCCAGAAAAGGGACAGGAGCACTTATAAGGACCACACCCTTGGTCTGTGACTCGCAGTGCCTTCCAAACATTAAGGATTAATGGGCTACAACATTAAAAGTGTGATGCACAAAAGAATATACTGATAAAAAGATACTTCACAAAGTACTGGAGTTTCAGCTTCAGCATCAGTCCTTCCAATGAATATTCAGGACTGACTTCCTTTAAGATGGACTGGCTGGACCTCCTTGCTGTCCAAGGGACTCTAAAGAGTCTTCTCCAACTTCACAGTTCAAAAGCATCAATTCTTCGGTGCTCAGCTTTCTTTATGGTCCAACTCTCACATCCATCCATGACTTCTGGAAAAACCATACCTTTGACTAGACGGACCTTTGTTGGCAAAGTAATGTCTGCTTTAATATGCTGCTAGGTTGGTCATAGCTTTTCTTCCAAGGAGCGAGTGTCTTTTAATTTCATGGATGCAATCATTATCTGCACTGATTTTGAAGCCCAGAAAACTAGTCTGTCACTGTTTCCACTTTTTCCCCATCTATTTGCCATGAAGTGATGGGACAAGATGCCATGGTCTTAGTTTTTTGAATGTTGAGTTTTAAGCCAGCTTTTTCACTCTCTTTCACTTTCATCAAGAGGCTCTTTAGTTCCTCTTCACTTTCTGCCATAAGGGTGGTGTCATCTGCATCTCTGAGATTGTTGATATTTCTCCTAGCAATCTTGATTCCAGCTTGTGCTTCATCCAGCCCAGAATTTTCCATGATTTACCCTGTATATAAGTTAAATAAGCAGGGTGACAGTATACAGTCTTGATGTACTCCTTTCCCGATTTGGAACCAGTCTGTTCCATGGGGACCGGAACCCCATGTCCAGTTCTAACTGTTGCTTCTTGACTTGCATACAGGTTTCTCAGGAGGCNGAGTGCAGCACTTTAACAGCATCATCTTTTAGGATTTGAAAGCACTAACTGGAATTCCATACCTCCACGAGCTTTGTTTCTAGTGATGCTTTCTAAGGCCCACTTGACTTCGCATTCCAGGATGTCTGGCTCTAGGTGAGTGATCACACCATCATGGTTGTCTGAGTCATTAAGATCTTTTTTGTACAGTTCTTCTGTGTATTCTTGCCACCTCTTTTTAATATTTTCTGCTTCTATTAGGTCCATACCATTCCTGGGAAAGACTAGAGATCTCTTCAAGAAAATTAGAGATACCAAGGGAATATTTCTTGCAAAGCTGGTTAGGGAACTAGATACTAAATGCTGCAACTAAGAGTTCACAAGCTGCAACTAAAAATCTGGCATGCCACAATGAACATCAAAGATCCTGTGTACCACAACTAAGACCCCATGCAGCCAAATAAAAATGGAATAAATATTTTTTTAAAAAATCAGTGGGAGAGATGAGATGATCTCACCCACAGAAGAATTTAAATAATTTATGGAAATCCCCCTTCCAGAAGGTGAAGTGTAGTTCCCCTCACCCTGAACTTACTGACATGCTTCCAAAACACAGAGTAGAAAAGGGAAAAAAACGGTAACTTCAGAGAGCAGTGAAAGTCGCTCAGTTGTGTCTGACTCTTTGTGATCCCATGGACTATACAGTCCATGGAATTCTCCAGGCTAGAATACTGGAGGGGGTAGCCTTTCCCTTCTCTAGAGGATCTTCCCAACCCAGGGATCAAACCCAGGTCTTCCACATTGCAGGCGGATTCTTTACCAGCTGAGCTACTGACAAATCCCCACCTTAACTACATGATAACGGTCAGCATCACCAGCTGTCATGAGGATGTCCTGTACTCCCTGAGGAATATGTCAAAACCCTCACATAGTCCCTGATATGTGATGAGAAAGGGGTTTTCCTTTGTAATATTCTTTCCAAAAACTTTTAACTGCAGTCTAGTTACTAAAAAACAAAACAGAAACAACAGATGCAAGCCGAGATTAGAGACTATTCTACAGGCGACCTGACAGTGCTCCTCCTAGCTGCCATGGTCATGAAAAATAAGGAAAGACTGATAAAGTACACAAACTGGAAGACTAAGAAAACACGACAAAGAAAAGCCAGGTGATATCCTGGACTGGATTCTGGAAAAGAAAATTAACGGAAAAACTTGTGACATCTAAACAAAGTCCAAAATTAATACTAACACTCATATTGCAATGTTCTTCATTTTGACAAGGGTAACACGGTAACTATATTCCTTTGCTAGGGCTGTTGTAACAAAACCCCACAGACTAAGTCTAGGGAAATGTATTGTGTGGAGACTGGAAGGCTGAGATCAAGGCGTCAGCAGGACCAAACCTCCTCTGAAGTCACTAGGGAAGGACCTGTTCTAGGCCTCTCTCCTAGCTTCTGATAATTCCCCGGCTTGTCACAGCATAACTCAACATTCACACAGCACTCTCCTCTGTGTATCTCCAAATTTTCCCTTTCTATAAGGAGAAGTGGAGGACAGAGGAGCCTGGGGTGCTGCAGTCCATGGGGTCGCAGAGTCGGACATGACTTAGCAACGGAACAACAACGAGGACAACGTGAGGACAAGTGATCCTGCTTTACTGCAGTACTTCCCCTCCGGTGTGACCTCATGTTAACTAATTGCATCTGCAGTGACCTGACTGGCTGTTTAGAGAAGCCACCCACCGCAGGTTCTGAGGTTTCCCTGCACGTTACTGCTGTGTATGTCATATATACAAGGGCCTGACTGCTCTGCTCCTGGGTCATTTTTCAGATTTGTATTTGCTGTGAGAAACTTTGAAGAAAAGGTAAAGTGTCCCTCTGGGACAGACAGTAGCTTGCTTACAGCATGCTACAGACTGGCAGGTTCCCCCAAATTCAGTACCACCATCTTGTAATGCAACTCACTGCATATGAACTCATTCATTTGGGCTTTTTCCCACCCCGTGGGGCTTGGGGAGCAAGGGGAACCATAAC